TTTTCTTTTTTCTTTTTTCTTTTTTCTTTTTTCTTTTTTCTTTTTTCTTTTTTCTTTTTTCTTTTTTCTTTTTTCTTTTTTCTTTTTTTTTCTTTTTTCTTTTTTCTTTTTTCTCTCCCTCTCCTTCTTCTCCTCCCTATCCCTCTCTCTCCCCCTTTTTCTTTTTTCCTTTTCCTTTTCCTTTTCCTTTTCCTTTTCCTTTTTTCCCAGACTCCTGAATCTTGTTAAGAATCAGGAGATACATATTTAGATTTACACTAATGCTGGTATTTGTAGATCTTCCATTTAAAACATTTACTTTGTGTCTAAGTGATCAATTGTATACTTAGTTCTCTTAATCAGAAACGTAAAAAAAAAAAAATGGGAGGGTAGAGGGGGAACCATTCTGTAATTCAGAAGCTTTTAAAAACTTTCTCTTTCAAAACTTTTTTTTTCTTTTAAAATAGAATAGCTTAATTTTGACAGGTCTTTTCTGTAAATGTAAATCAGCATCATTGAATGTTGGATTAGATGATGGAATAAATAGGATAGATTTAGTGTCATTATGGCTAATGAGACACCCTTGCAATCAAGCTTACTTCTTAGCAATGAATGCAATTTCAAGTAATACAGTACAGCTACAAAGAGACGGACAAAGTCCCTGAAATCAGAATCACTTTTTTTTTTTTTTTTTCAATTATTTTTTTTAAGCTTAATAGGCTTTAATATTTTTGGGGTTTTTTTTTTTTTTTTTTTTGTGTGTGTGTGTTATTGCTTAGAGAACACATAATATGGATGTGTACATATGTACGCAGACACTGAGCTTGTGCTCCCTCTCTCAAGACTAATGTCTCTCTAATACTGAATGTGAATGTGATACAAGTGCGTCTCCTTAGAGCAAGGCCTGTGTATATAGGAGAGGTAAACCTAGTAAGAATTACTTCTCATAGATCTTCCTCCTTCTGTGTTGGTCTGTTTGTTTTGACCTGCATTCCTTTAGAGCAGTGAAACACGAATAGCAGCCCAAAAGCCTGAGAAAGGGACAAAAACCTTGCCATGATTGTGATTGGTATTGTGTTAAGTGATGGTAAGGAGCCTGAGTCGCTTCACTTACCTACACGTTAAAAGGCAACTGTGCTTGACTTGAAGACTCTGTGTTCCAAGGGTGAAAATAAGGACTGTATTTTTTAACCCAATGTTTTGTTTTTTTTCTTTAAACAGCTCTGAAATGGATATACTGTCTGCTAGTTCTGAAGGCATTCTTATTGGCTATTGTCCACAGCAAGATGCACTGGATGAACTTTTAACGGGTTGGGAACACCTTTATTATTACTGCACACTGCGTGGAATTCCGAAGCAACATATTTGTAAGGTAATTCCAGAACAGATTTGTATGTGGAGCTGCAGCTAGGTTGGGCAATGGAGTTTTTAAAATGATGGTACTCTTTTACATGAGAGAATATCCAGTATTTCATCTTAAGAGTTTTAGTCATAAGGTTTTTTATTGCTAATTTTTCTAAACAAAATTGATGTTCTTCTTTCTCTTACGCCAATTCAAAATGCAGTAACATCACTAAAAATAGTGAAATAATACTAATGTAAAAGCAATCTCTGGTACACAAACTCTAAAGGAAACAAAATGAAATTTATAAATGATTCAATAACTTCATTGTCACACATAGAGACCTGGGAGGGAACACCACATGTCTGAAGTCATGCACCTTTTCTTCAGAGGTGAACTTTGTGGGGAGGGCGAGTGAAAGGCTGTGTGGTGTTTAGCTTCTTGCTGGGTTAAACCACAACAAAAACCTAAAAACCTGTGTGCTGAGGCCAATTGACAGCTGTTAGCATTAAGCTTGCAGAAGTTTTCACCTTCACAAGACAGTGGCTGCATGCAAACTGCCTGCTGGGAGCAGTGTCTGAAACTTTCCAGCTGCAGTACCAGGCATGGAGTTGTCTCAAGAGAAGAAGCCATCTCTGTGATGGAAATTTCTGATTTGACCTGCACTTAAGCAGTCCAGTCTCTTGTGCATCTCCCTTTACAAGTGAAAACTAGAGTGTGATAGATCAGTACCATTTCTGTTGTGTAGACTGTAGACTGGTCCCATATAAATGCTAGGTCTGTATGGTAGTCTTTACTGTCTGCTCAGAGAAGTTGCGGAGGTAATTAAGGCCAGGTTGAATGGGGCCCTGGACAGCCTGATCTGATGAATGGCAACCCTTCCCATGGCAGGGGGTTGGAACCAGGTGGGCTTTGAATCACTTCCAACCCAAGCCATTCTATGATTGTTCTTGTAACTTCCATGAGGCTGTCTCTCTTCTTCCTTTTGTTTCTCTGAAACAAAACTGCATCGCTTTTTTCTATGTGCCTGTTGTCTTCTTGGTTATTGCCTTAGGGTCCACCAAGTGGTTTGCAGTCTATTCCTTATCTGTTGAGGCTGACAACTTCACGTCACACCTTTTTTCCCCAACAGAGTATTCAGAAATAACTACTATCTTGACATAAAAATAGCATCGAGGAAGATAATATTTTGAATGTTTCCTTAAGCTAATTAGTTGGGTGTTTCTGGATCAGAAGTTGAAGGAAATAAAAGATTCTTACATGTCTTTATAATTTCTCCTGGGTTATCACCTTAACAGAGCCCGGCTGGACATTAGCTTAGTGCTTTAACAATACGCTTCTTGCAGGATGCTTAGAAATCACGCTGTGGTCTTTAATTTAGTTGTTTGCTGTTTTAAACTCAACATCACTAATTTTTGCTTCAAAGTACTCATGAAGTACAAATAACTTGAATATTTGATATCCTTTGATCTAAAGAAGATATGTGAAAAAATGATTGTTAATGCACTAAACTCCTCAACCATGAGTACTTGTTTTCTCCATTAACAGGCAAGTGTAACAGTTGGGCTAAAATCCTGTCATAACTAGAATTTATTATTATGGCACTTTAATAGACACACGGGTAGTAACAAATTCCAGCATTTGTCCTGGATCTATGAAGTTATTCAAAAGGATACTGGTAAATATTCATACATCTTACAATAATTATTGGATTCTTTTGGTCCTCAGTGCAATTTAAAACAGGAATAAAATTTAGATAGTTTAACTACACCACAGTGCTCTTTAAAATGCTGTAAATTTTAAAGCATTTTAAAATGCTTTCAAGCTTTTATTCTTATCATCTTCAGAAGAAAGAACGATATATTTTTATAATGGTCCAAATGGTCTTAAATGTCCAAGTGATACACCGTATGCTACAAACAAAGCAGTTTCTAAGACAAGAAGAGTCTAACTTTCAGAAGCATTTGACTGATAGAAGTTCCTAGTTTTAAATAAATTTCAAGGCACTCACTAAGCTCGCAGAGTTGGGTTCATACGCAACGTGTTACTCTCAGCAAACACACCTTCAAATTAAACATTCTCCCTGTGTGAATACACCAAAGCCCATGAAGCTAGGCAGATAGTGACTCTCTGAGAGAAGAACGGAGTAAAAATGAGTCTATAATGTAGGCTCCCACAACAGCTGTTTGGGAGATAGCCACGCTGTCTGGATGAGGAACAGAATCAGGATGTAATGCGGAGTCTTGAGAATGGATACATATCTGTGGTGTGCTTAAGGTCTTGCATTTCAATAAATAACCTGTCTTATGCTGCACTGAACTTAGCTCAGGTGTCTGGGAAACCTTCCAGATTGTAAAGAGCAAGAAGATACCACCACATTTCTATGCTGTGTCTGCAGAGTATCTCTCTGTATATGCAAATAAGCACTGCTGTGATTGCTGTCTCCTGCCTGTATTTGGTGAGGAGCCAGAGTAACCCAGCTTCCTATACTTTCTCTGAAGATCATATGACATTTTTGCTCTCTGGAAAATCTGTTATTCATTACATTGCAAATGTAGATGTATAATTGGTGTACCTATGAGTTTCCACTTTGTATTCAGATCCAGGTGTTCTCTGGCAATTAGTAAAAAGGTACTGCAGTGGCTGCTCTGAAAACAGAATGATAATTTCTGTACTGTTCCCCCTTCAAGTGGGTCAAAATCAATTCTGTGTATTTAGAGATGACTTACATTACTGTGGTGCACTGAGGAGAGATGACTGTTAATCTGCAGACTATTCTGAGCCTTAAATGGTCTAGGTGTAGCCTTTTGTACCTTTGTTTCACATTTGTGAGATAGAGACCATTCTTCCTTTTAGTTGCCCTAGTTTTTGGTCTGTGTAAATGGGAGAGCAGACTTTCTTGCCATATGCTTGTGATTAAGGCATCAAAGGCCTCCCACAAATAACATTTAGCTACTCTGGTTTACCTTCAACAACTGAAGTGCAGCTACCTCAGAAGAAAACAAATGTTTTTGTCAGCAGGCCCTTTCTGTGGTGTGGAGTTGCTGTGAAGTGCTGAACAGCTGCTGTGCTTCAACCCAGAAATGAATGGTACCTGGAGAAAAGTGTACATTTTAGTTGCCTGTGAAAAAAAAAAAAAAAAAAAAAAAAAAAAAGCTTGAAAGTGGTTTGGAATACCAACTGCATGGAAATGTAAGCCATTATTTTCTCATTCCCTCCTGCCCATGATATTGTCTTCCCTGTCTGCGTCTTACTTTTTCTGAGTGATGATTAGGATGTGGTAAGCAACCCACCTTTTTTTTTGTTTGTTTGTTTTTTTAAGAATTTGGCAAGCAGGCAGGTGACCTACAGAATGATTTGCTTCTGAAGAAATCCACTGAATCACCAACTTCAAGGCTCAAATCCTTTGCTAGACAGATTTATCAGCAGCAGGAGTTAAGTGACTGACATAAAGATGAGTGCATTTAATGTTCCAAAACAATAATTAACTGAATGGGAAAGGAAGAGAAAAATGGGTAATTTACTTTCAGTGTTAAGCTTCATGTAATATAAAGTTTTACTTTATTTCCCAAAAGTGCTCTGAAAGTTGGTTGTTTTTTTTTAAGGCTAGAAAGTTTGGCATAGAGCACTTGAGGTATTTAGACATAATCTAGTTTAGTAAAGTATTCTAATAATAATTTTTATTTCCTTGATACATCAAATTTCATATCTCAGTTTGTTGCAGAAGACAGCATAGAATCTGTTAAAAAACATAAAATACTAATACAGCATTACATAGGACCTATCATCTGTATGAAAACATTTGTGTTCCAAATCTCAGAATAGGCTCCACAAGGCCTTCAGAGACAACATCTTGCTTTGCCAGTCTGATTTCTCTTCATGTTCTCTCTCCAGCAACATTTTTGTGCTGTCTCTGGACTCTCATTGACTTGCTTATGTACTGTATTCTATAGCTGCTGAAGACAGGAGCTTGTAAAAGCAATTACCTTTTGCAGCACAGAGCTTTCATTCTTGCATTTTCTTTAGACCCCAAGCAGAGTTACACCATAGAGTTTTATAATCTGGGACAAATAACTTTTTTCCTTTTGAATTCTGGCCATAAGAATGCATTTTCCTAGAAGAGATCTAACAATTCTGTTTACTCTGTTTTGTGTGGATTTGATGATTGATTGTTACATATGATGTTTAATCTATATGACAACCTGATAGAACGATTGTTTTTCAGTTTACTCCAGAATTTACCTCATGCTGATTATCATTTGTACTAGGTACAGTACGAATTTTCACAGTTAGGTCAGGTTTGCTTTACACATTGTATTTATTTTTTCAGAAAATATGCAAAATTAATACTCTGTTCCTCATATCCTTTCAACTCAGGATAGATACGTTACATTTCCAGACTTCTAATAGATTGAAGCCTCTACAACTCTATATAGTTTTTCTGGAAAACATACTAGCTGGTCACTCTCAGTACCTCTTATTATTTACTTGAACATCAATGGTAACTTTGGAAGAGTGGAAAACAAAAACACATTATGGGTTACGTAGCTGGCATCATTTCTTTCTTTTCAGTGACACAGGTGTGCCTCTTGGTTTTCTGGTGGATAGAGAGCACCATCCCTACTATAATCTTTACTCTCACAAAAATTAATGCGTGCGAATATTAAAGTTACCTTGTCTTTTTTAGAATAAATGTAGACTTTAGGATATGCACAAAGTATTCAATGATTTAGCTTAGATTTTGTTGATTCAAGGACTTTTTCCAATGTGTATTTCAGAGTTGGGAAAGTATAAAATTGATGTGGGAAAAAGGGAATTTTTTCTTAAGATATTAGATTTGGCTAGAAAAAGAATAATTTTAAGGAATGTTGGAAAATAGGGCTTTTTTTTAATAATTATTATTACGTTGATGAGGTGAAGGGAAAGAAAGGAGTAGATGAAAAACATATTTATGGTCTATGGTTCTTTATGGTCTAAAGGCTGTCATAAAGCATTTATTTGCATGTAACTGCATTTTTAATTTGACCTCAGTGTTACTGGCTTGCTAAATAAATTGATGTATATCCTCACTCTTCACTGCTGAAAGTAATTGAAACCAAAAATAGAACATCATGATGAATATGACAGGGAGAGAAGGTGACTGTGGATATATCTCACATTAGAAACCATTAGAATTGTAAATGCTTTGCATAATTGTGGGTATCTGAACATTTGTCACATGTCCAATTCTGAATTTCATTTAAAATATCTTTAGAGGTATTTTCATTTTTAGGTTATGGTATACTGTGTTGCAAACCACAAGACACAGCTGTCTACACAGATAAATAAAGTTATAACAGAGGTGTGCAGGCTCTTCCACAGTATATCTTATATATCTAATTTCGTTCATATGATACCTTCATTATTAGTTAGTTCATATTGATAAAGCCAATGCTGTTTCTACTAGAAAGTCTTATGGTATACTTTCAAGAAAAGAGAAAAAGTTTGGGATCATCTCTTGAAAGAAGAATGAACTCTGTATTCACATATTTGTTGATGTGTACTTTGCATAAGAGTTGAGAAGGACTGCATGATTAGGAGACTTTTTAGGTGCAGCTGAGAAGCCACTCTAAGAAAGCTGAATAATTCTTCTGTCTTGATGTCACTGATGTGATTCAGCTCCAAATCTGGCTGTATTTTATGTGTTTTGTGCAAAAAAGATATGTATCTAGATATCAAGTCAGATTATGGTGCGCACTGTAATGAACTACAATGAACTATTTATCTTGAAAGCTCTACGTATTCAAAGCAATAGTAAATTCAGTACTATGAAATGATTGCCACTCCTCTGTTGTGCCTTTAGTCTTGCAAAATTTCCATAGCAGAGAATTTGCCAGACTTTCTTTCCTTCTTAAAAAAAAAAAAAAGAGAACATGGCTAAGTCATGAGTATCTGTGCACTGAATTCTCATGTATATACCAAGTAGTTGGGAGAACTGAAGATGTAAAATTACAGTGCAAATCTTGAAAAGTTGGTACTTCTTAATGTTTCTTCCTACAGTGAACATTATGTTTGTGCCTTCAGTAAAAATAAAAGTAATAAATAGGAGAGGTAAACTTTAAATTATTGCTACCCCAGCTTGCTAAAAGCTTCTGATTCAGTCTTCTTGGAGGCTACCAGACTGCAATATGACTTAACTTTAATGTTTTCTCTTCTCTCTGTGGCAGTATTGCTTGTCTTTCTAAATTCTTCCCTGTGCATTCTTTCTTTTAGAGAATGGTGCTTAGCAACTTACAGCTGTAGTAATACATCAAAGCTGTCTTAGAAATAGTGGTCTGGTCAGAGCTAAATATTTGTTTTTGCTATGTTCCATCTCTGATAGGTAACCATCTTTTCCTTATTGTTTAGTTATAGAATGTGATATATATGTTCATTTTGGTGTAAATAAGAGATCACATGTTTTTTCACTTTCTGACATTACCTTAAAAAGATTTTTTTGTGCAATTCTCTGCATATTTTCGGTGGATTTGTGGTAGGATAATTCTGTTGTCACTAACATGCATGCACGCATAGACAGTGGTAGTAAAATGAATTCAGTTTAGATGTGGATAAGCTGTCTTCCAAAGAAAGCAAAACAGAACATTGAAAAATGTAACAATTTAAAAAATAAATAAATAAATAAATAAATAAATAAAAAAAAAACACCATCCAAACTGCTCTTAGAATTAAGCTTAGGCTCTCAATCATTTCTAAAACCAAGGAATATTTGAGTTTGCAGCACTCGCACTGGTATGCAGCAATAGTGTCTAAAAGAAAGAAAGAAAAAAACCTGGGAATTACCTCTGAAATATCAGAAGATGTGAACTTTTCAGTATAAAATAGCCTGTGGATGATTTAATGGCTGTTGATTAAGGTTTTTTGCTTAAACTTTCTCAACTTACTGTACTTAGAAAAATGTTTTTGAAATGTAGCTTCTGTCTGAGAGCATGAACTGCTGTCAGATTATAATGCTATTAGATTATAAAATAAGATACAGAGTTGACAAGCTACTTTGCAATATCAGTGCCAGGATCCATGCGAGAGTGTCAGATTCTCTCCACTGCAGCATAATTCCTGCCTGCAAAGAACTCCCTCTTAGAGATGTATTTCATTTTTTATGCATAATACTGAAAATCTTGCTTAAAAGTTCACAGATAACTTGATTATTGCATGAGAAATTTGCACGAAACTATGTTTATGATAGTTTCTTTGGGATGGTAATGAATATTCACAAATTCACAACACTGTTTGCTGAAATATTTTTTTCTTTGAATTTTCTAAATCAACTCAACGCTGTCCATCTAATTTGCCTAACCTTTCAAATAATTGATTTTTTGTTGAAGGTAGTATAGAGGGAGCTAAAAATAATGCACCATATTGCAGCAGATGCATGCATAGTGCTCTGTTGTTTTAAACTGACCACCAAAACGACTACTTGTTCTACAAGAATGCCCTACTTGTGCTACATGCAGCATAAAGCAGACAGGTTGTTTTGCAAATTTATTTGCCCCTTGAAGCCCCAAGCAGCATGGCAATGAACACATGCTGTTTTGGGGAGTGGTGAGTAGGAAAGTCACTTCTGTGTCCCTGCCTTTGCATAGTCCAGCACTTATAGCTGATATAAGTGGAGCAAGGCTCTTCCTACACCAGCATTTGAGGGAGCCTTGTGGATTAGAATTGGCAAGTAAAGAAGAAAGACTGCAGAGCATGAACATTGTCTCCAACTGTGCTCATGTCCATGCTCAGATTAGATCACAAATGGTTATTTAAGTAGTAAAAACCAAGAGCTATGTCTAACTTAAAGCTTTCTGATATAGAAGAAGATTATTTAATTCTAAATTAGCTTTTGTCTTTAAGAAACTCTGAGACTTTGACCCAACATTTGCTTTTCTGCCATCTACATCTGTTTGTGGATGATGTAGAATTTTGTTTCCTGAATTTTCAGTCACAAAGATGTTTGGTCAAGTGAATACTGGAGAGCAGTGTAAAATGAAGAACAGTTAAGTTATTGAGCTGTCAAAAGAAAATAAATGTGACAGACTGTTTCAAGGAATGATGTAGTCAAATTTTCTATATAGGGAAATACATACTTGTGGGAATGAGGAGAGACCTAGAACAGATTTTTGTGTGCCTGTAGGATTCAATGTTAGTAATATTCAGCAAATGGGGAAAAATAAGGAAATAACTTCTACGTTTGTTTGTAATAAGAGTGAACTGGGTGCTTATTCAATCTAAACATGCTACTGTCATCTGAAATCTGGGAAGAAAAACTTTCTCACTTGAATGTGGTGTTAGAAAGCCAGTATTCCTTTATTCCTCACAAAATGTACCGGGTGACTCAATCAAGCAAGCAAGCAAATGCTCTCAAAGTTAATTTTCTGCATTTAAACACTTAAGACATATCAATATATATGCAGTACATTGGTATATTCATCCTATTGACATATTTGTTCTTTTCCAAGAACCCATTAATATATGCTAATGTCCCTCTGGGCATGCGCAGTTGCATCTATGGTGGATGTATGACCACCTGATACCTCCCCTTTTTTTCCTCCTTCAGCTTCATCACAGTGACTTTTGGCCTACCCTTAGCTGTTTTTCACCAGTTTAGAAATTTCCCATTGCTTGTTATGCCATGATGAGCAGTTTTCTATCTTGGTGAACTATAACTCAGAACAATTTGTGTGCATCTCAAGAAAAAGTCCTTGCACTTCATGGAAACAAAGACAAAAGTATTCTACTATGACTTCTGTGCTTCTGTGAAGCAGGAACATTGAGGGAAACAAGGCTGTCTGCATAACAGACAAAGCTAAACTGGAAAGTTTTAGAAATAGCACACATGGATTCCTTTTGGTCCTTAAACTAATATGTTGATCCCTATTGCTAAGCCAACCTATATCACTTCCTAATTTGGCTTGTCCTTGCTGACCTTCAAATTTCCAAATGACAGGTAGCAGAGGACCTTGTTACCCGGTTGCAACTCAGTGCCCACGCTGACAAAATGGTGAGAACATACAGTGCCGGCACAAAAAGAAAACTCTCTGCTGCTCTGGCTCTAGTTGGTAAACCACAAATACTTTTACTGGTAAGTAAAGGCAATAATACTGTGGGTACTTTGGAAACATGATAAATAGACTGCACTGAATTTCCTTGTCTTGCATGTTGCCCCCATAAAATTCAGGTCATTTCCTGGTCATTCAAGGAGAATAACGATACACAAATGTGCAACTGTTCTGTTTGCTTTGCTGTATGAATGTTTGTTTTATTTGCCTGTATTCACAGATCAGGAACTGAAATTGTTTTTCAAATTTTCCTTCTTTTTCTTTTGGGGGTAGTGGCATGGACAGGGGAAAGGGACACTAAACAAGCACAAATGCAATTGTAGCATCCAATGACCCAAATGGATACGTAATTTATTTTAAGATTTGTTTGTAAAGAAGAGAATATACTAAGATTTATGTATTCTCTACTTTTTATACAACATGAGAAAAGTATACATGAACAATTACACTGGTTTCCTCAAGAGGGAAGATTCTGTTTTAATTCATTATTTAATGCTGATGTAATTAGTTACTTGTCTATATTATTTAGATAATTCATATTCGTTACTACATCATGCTTCATAGATCTGGCCAGTGTTAATATCTTAATTGGGTTCACTAATCAAAGTAATACTCCTGAATGATATTAAACTGAATTATGTTTTGTCTTGGTGCCTGCATCCTGCCATTTGTTTAGGCCTGAAACTGGCCTTTTCAGTCTAAGAAATGCTGTTTGTATTGAAGATCAGGGAATTAAAAAGCTATGGGAATTGCATCATTATTTCTCTATATTCTTTTTCTCATTATTACTTTATATACTGGAGCTGATCCAGAGGAGGCCACAGAGATGATTAGAGGGCTGTAACACCTCTCCTTTGAAGACAGACTGAGGAAGCTGGGCTTGTTCAGCCTGGAAAAGAGAAGGCTCTTGGGGAACCTTGTTGTGGCCTTCTAATACTTAAAGAGGGCTTATAAACAAGAGGGAGACTGACTTTTTATATGATAGTGATAGGACAGGGGGAAATGGCTTTAAATTAAAAGAAGGGAAGTTTAGATTAGATGTTAGGAGGAAATTCTTTTCTCGGAGGGTAGTGAGGCAGTGGCTCAGGCTGCCCAGAGAGACTGTGGATGCCCCATCAATGGAGGTGTCCAAGGCAATAGTATTGTTTTTACTTTCTTTATCTTTGCTTTGTTACTTCTCAACAGATAAAAGACAACTAAATTTCTTTTCACCTTTGTCATTGTTAGCTAAACACCAAAATCAGTATTAGATGGGATGATTTAGCTTTGGCTCTTGACAACTTTGTTGCAGGTTTTAGCAAGGAGTCCATGATGCAAATACATTAGCTAAGACCATAACATCCAAACTAGATGCTGACACCCGTTATGAAAATATATAATATTAAATGCAGCTTGGAATTTTTCCTTCTCCCTACTTTTGTAGTGAAAGATAATGACTTTTGAAAATAAGGTATCATTCTTTCTTCTGCAAGTCTCTCCTGTAAGTATATATATACATAGAACTTCATAAAGAAGAAAATGAATGTAAGTGTGCTTGAGCAAAAAAAACAATCAGGGCATCTTTTAATGATTTCCTGAAAATGCAGGACTTTTTTAGAGAGACAACTATGTTCTTTCGTTGTAATTTCTGTTCATTGTTCATGCTGAGCTGGAGTTGTGTGTTTTCCATATTGCTGTGTCATTACTTTCGTTTTTCCTATAGGATGAGCCAAGTTCTGGGATGGATCCTTGCTCTAAACGTTACTTGTGGAAAACCATCTTGAAAGAAGTTCAGGATGGCTGTGCAGCTGTGCTGACATCCCACAGGTGATAATAAGCACCCTTATTTCAGCTGCCACTGTATTACCTTTTTCTTTCCTCACTTGTTATCATCTTTGGGAAAAATAGAATATTCTGAAGGTGTGCTCACACTTGTTTGAAACTCAGAGCATTTTTTGGCATTTTATGGCAATTCCTTCCTGATCATGAAAGGTGAACTTTAAATTGTGGCTCAAGAAGGCTACAGGCAGAAGAATGATGCATCAAATGCTCCATTTTCTATGCTCTTTCCTTTCAGTGTTGCAGTATCACTTTTTGCTTGGAACACAAGATTTATCCTTTTGCAGTTGCCTACTTCTCAAATCCTTAGAAGCACAGATGGGAATGTAAAGCCTCCTTCTGATGTTATTGATAATTTTATTTTGTGTGATTGTATAGAATAAATATGTCATGACACAACAAAGATATACATCAGCTCTTCAATGTATGCATTGATGGAAATGGAAGGGTTGACCCTGTCTTCTTGGAAGAGTGTATCTATATTCTGTATCTTGTCAAATCTTTGAAATGGATATTGGTGCATCAGTTTAACAGAGCATCAGAACTGTTTTGTAGCATCCACAATAGAATGGAATATTATATATCCCCTTAGGGAATATAGTATAGTAGATATGATTATATATGAAATGTCTGTGTCTGAGGGAAGAGGTCATAAAAAAGTGCCCAGAAAGGACAGAACTAATTAATCAAAACAGCAATGCAATAATTTGGCCAAATTAAATTTGAAGAGTAGATGAATTGATCTATGCGGCAAAACTTCCTTCAACATTTTCTAGATATTGTTAAATTTTTCAGAAGTTCTCAAAATTTATATTTATTGTCCCTGCACACAAGTGATACATTATTCCTAGGAGGGGAGAAAAAAAAATAAAAGCTTTCAGAAGTTTTGTGAATTCTGTTTGTGGAAAATGAATCTTCAAAATCATGCACTTGAATGAGTGCTTAGCAAGTGTTTAGCAACTCACTTATTTAGGGAACAGAAGTCATCCAATGTGAATTAAGATGAGTCATTTTCAGGAAATTGTGCTTTGACTTTTCAGTCCAGGTTAAGAACCCTTTGTTGTCAAAAGCCAGCTAAGTAGAAGAGCTCTGTGGTCTCATTACTAACATGCTGCAAGCAGGAAAAATAAATAAATCCATCAAATAAATTGTTACTAATTGCTCATTTAGCTCTACAAATGAATGACTTCTGACTGAAGCAGTAATAAGTAAAGTAATAATGTACACATCTCATTTCTAATTAATAAGACATTGTTATATCAAGTTGCAGAAATTATCATATAATATTTGCTGAAGGCCATTGGAGATTTATTTGAGATTTTCTCAAAGGCTACTTGCATAAGTAAAATATTTTTTCCTATTAAATGAATCTTTGTGCATACCAGCAAATAAATGCATGGAGGAATAGAAATGGTTTCCTGGGTAAAGATTAATTTTTGAGGTCTATTTACTTGTTAATTTATTATTATTATTATTATTATTGAGGCAGGAGAAAAATGAGTTTGTATTAATTGTCTACGCTGGCCTAATTTTGTGCTATTTTGCCACAAGTGGGAAATATTATGCTGAGGAAATCATTAGGAGGCACCGCATGCTAAAATGACTCAGCTGTCTTCCTGTTTTGTGGGAAGATGTGTTAGCCATCTCACCGTGTCTCTGAAATGCAACAGCTTGCTCTTTGTCAGTTCTCACCCTACTCCTGTCCCATTTTAAGAAATTATTCTAAGAAGGGTACTTAATCTCCATGCTTTTCCAGAAAAAAGCACTATAATTTGGACTGCACACACAAGACTCTAGTTTTCTCAGAGGGGATGGAGCAGAGTGAACTGCACTAACATCAAACAACTTCAACTTCTCTTTGAGAAGACAGTTCTTTGATGAATACGTCCTGACTGATGTCCTGTCTAAATCAATGCTTTGGAAGAAATGCTCACATAATTATGTGTAATATGTAGAAGGGTAACCCATCTGCCCTAAGCTTTACAAGTCAAAGTTATTCTTTGTCAACTGAAGCAATCACATCTAAAAAATGTGATCTAAAAAAGAATCTAGCTTTTATTATTCAGCTGTGTTACTGTGTCCTAAATTCTATTTTGGATTGTAGTGTATTGCAATTTCTTCTTTCCTGCGATCAGGATAAGGGTAACTTATCTTTTTGAGGCTATGTGTTGTGCAAGAGGTAAGCTGAGCAAATTTACTTTTTTCCCCTCCCTCTCCCCATTAGTGCAGAATGGTCATAAACATGTATTGCAGGGAACAACATAGTTCATGGTCCCACATCAGTGACATATTTGAGGTTGCCTACCAGGTGTTTATTTGCCTGTAGCAATAAAACCTTTGTATTGCAGCCAGAATTGTTGAATTAAATCTGTACTAAAAATATAAATTTGGTTTTGAGGCTTTCTTCTGGCTGTAATGTGGTTATACCTTTTGATATATACTGATGAGGGCTACAATTTGAATTGTTCCCTTTAAAGCCAAAGGTTTTGTGTACCTGTTTTTGCAGCTGTCCAGATTCCTTTCATTTTAACTTAAGTTAGATATATATGGTGCTCTCTGTTTTCACTTGTCCTGTTTTAATCCCTTTTTCTTTTTCCACTGTACTCTGTAGTATGGAAGAATGTGAAGCCCTCTGCACGCGACTTGCTATTATGGTGAATGGAAGCTTCAAGTGTCTTGGTTCTCCCCAGCACATTAAAAACAGGTATTATATATCACCACTGAATTTTCTGTAGCTACGTCCAGTCTAAGAACTGGGTAGATATTTTAATAATGCCAAGGTATGAACACTTATGACTGCTGAGCACATCTTTCTTTTCCTGTCATCAATGGTGTTAAAAAAGAGCCAATTAGGATATCTTAGCTAGCTAAATTGACAGACAGCATTTCTACAGTGCTTTGTAATCTGCACTGGCAATTGAAGAAGACAGATCTGTATCTAGAAGAAGCTCTTCTGCACTCAACCTGAGAAATGCATTTTGAGATTTCAACATTGGGTATCCTTTGAAATTATCATCACCTTCCTGGTGGTAATTTCTTCTAAGAGGAGAAAGTACCTGACAAGTCAGCAGCTAGTAAAACAATGCATTTTGAACCACTGTTGTCTCCTAGTAAATTCACTGATAATTTTAGGTATTTATTCTATAGCTTTTTGCTTCCTTTTCATGGTGTCGATAAGCCTCTCTTCTGCTTCAGCTCTTCTCGTAAGTTAATTTAACATCTGTTAATGAAGTTGTTTATTTAGAGATGGGGCTCAATTCACCATAAAAAAAAAAAAAACAAACACAAAACCAGAAACTGAGGAGAGAACTGCTGCAATTTATAGATAGAACATTTACATTTAGTAATAAGCAGAACTTTTATGGCACCCAGACAGCCAGCTGTGTAAAATGACATCACTTGTTTACAGGCAGCAAAGACTCTGGTTTGTACCAATTCAGCATTTAGCATTCTTAAGTGCAAATAAGCAAACTCTACAGAAATTACACTCTGCTGTGAACATAAGGCATCCTGTATTTTAGACAACTTTTTGTTCTTTCAGAAGGACACTTCTGGCTTTTGGTCCTTTGCATTATATAGAACTTTAGGATTTTATTTTGATAGAAATACAGGCACTTGCTTGACCTTGAAGAGGGCCATTCCTCAAGTGCTAGGTTCACCTTTATCTTCTCAGATAATCTTAGAGGTCTCTTATAAACTTAATGATTCTATGATTTTAAACATACTCAAAACATCTGTATTTTTTTTTTTTTTTTTGACTTTTAATAAGTTCTGGGAGAAACCAAAGAGCGTCCCTATTCTATTATTTTGCTTCTTTATCTTCCAAACTTCCCTTCAGATTGAGCTCCTGACTGTGGTTTTCTTTACCTGACTGTTCAGTTCTCCAACGTAGGCACCAGGTTATCAGACATCTAATTAATAAGATCATCTTTAAAAAAAAACAATACTTCTGTGTAATTCACATTCAAAATTATTTTAAGACAATTTTCAGATATGCTATTATGTATTCTGTAGAGTTACATGGGCTTATACATCTGCATAAGATAAGGAACGCAGGATTATTTACTTACTGCTCTAAACCATTTGAATAATTAAGCTTTAATTATAGTAATTTTATCATTATCTCACTTTCCACTTCATCTGTGAACATCTTGAAAAACTTCCAGTTATGAATGATTTTTTTCTGCTTTCAATTTTCTATCCCTTTCTGTGAACTAACAGCCCTGTGATAACTTTTATGTAGAGCAAAACTTTATTCCTTCTTCATGATTTCTAAATCTTTTCTTTGGAAAACACCTGCCAGCCAAGGAACACATTCCTTAACAGGCACCTCCACAAGTCATTGCTGATTAATTTCATTTTTCAGTGTATTTCTGCATACATTCTGCCTTTTCACATTGCTTTACATTTTGTTTAGCAAAACAATTCTGTGAAGCAGTGTATGTGATCAAATAACAAAAACCACAGAATCACAGATTCACAGAATCACCCGGGTTGGAAGGGACCCCAAGGATCATGTAGTTCCAACCCCCCTGCCTAGCAGGGCCACCAAACATACACATTCAGATCAGATTGCCCAGGACCCCGTCCAACCTGGCCTTAAACACGTCCAAGGACGGGGCATCCACAACCTCCCTGGGCAGCCCGTTCCAGGGCCTAACCACTCTCCTAGTAAAGAACTTCCCCCTAACATCCAACCTAAATCTTCCCTCCTTCAACTTGGATCCATTTCCCCTAGTCCTGCTGTTGTCAGCCCTTTTGAAGAGTTTACTCCCCTCCTGGGTGTAGGTTCCCTTCAGGTATTGATAGGCTGCAATGAGGTCACCCCACAGCCTTCTCTTCTCCAGGCTGAACAAGCCCAACTCCCTCAGCCTGTCCTCATAGGGGAGGTGCTCCAGCCCCCTGATCATCTTAAAAAACCATAAGGGAACCTAATTTTCCAGCATCTGATTTAATCTAAATTACTCATACCTTAAAAATTATTACTTGATGGTGCGTTTATGTGCCATGTGTGGATTAGTTACACTGGCAATATACTTATATTACTCTTATGTATATTATAATATGTATATGTGTAATACTTATGTACAGACTGAAATTATACCAAAATAAATTAATGGTGGCTGTGGTTTTAGATTACTATGTATTGTTTTTGTGTGTGTTAGATTTTAAAATTCATTATTTATTTCATTCTTAAACAAATCTTGACATCTTTGGTCTATTCTCAATTTTTCCTATAAATTAAATTATACAAATATTTAATAAATTAGAAGTGTCCTCATTTAGCCTTTATTGAATGAAAAAATGCCAATATTGTCTGAAAATTTAAACCAACAAAAATTTCATATAGATTTCATTTATCATAGAATACATCCCTCATTGTAAGAAATTACAGTAGAAGCACATTTTGATATTTTATATGATAATATTAACAACTCTTAGGATTTGTTTTCCTCTTTTAAAGCTAGCTATATTCCCTAAGATTACGTTTTTCTTCTCTTGGAGATTCTGACTGTCCTGATGGAAACTCTCAAAATTGTTTTGTTTGCTTTTCCTTTAGTACCATTCTAGCCCATTATGATCTACTTTCTGATGGATGTTTGATGAAGACTTAATGGGTCTTCTGTGGGGCCCTGTTAAATTTCCCTCTTTGCTGTGGTGGGAAGTTTCAAGGATTCAGCTTTCTCTCTCAGCACACTTTCAGTCTTTGGCAGATTGCAAAAGACTGTCTTGGACTGAATACAGGTTTGTCAGAAGGCAGTACAAAATTCTGCTATGAAGAGTATGGATGAGCTCCAGGAAGATGCTAATGTGAAACATAAAAGCTTAATAGGGATATAAAAACTGACACATGCTGCTTCTAATGTGTGAGACTTGATTTATTTTTCCAGCTCTTTTACAATCTTGTTACAAAAGGCTCATCCAAAATTGTCTTCTCACTACAATTATATGTATTCGAGCTTTTACTCCCAACTGTTGAGTCCTATATTTATCAATGTTTAAAAAGATTTAAAGTACCCTCAAATATTTCTTGGAAGTATATGCGTTACACTTCAAAAGGGATTTTTGTTGCATATTTCTGAATAATGCCAAAAGAGGTGTTAGGTAGAAAGGATGAACTGAAGGGTAATTTCCAAAAACGTAGCATCTTAGTTCTAGACATAGCTTGTATGAGATGGATCTGTTAGCAGTTGTGTCTGTTAAAACATAATTTCCATTCACTTTTGCCAACTGAACCAATTATTCTAAATTGTGAATGGATTACGTTTAAATTCTCTCTTCAGTATTCTCCATTACACTTCATGTTATTCTAAAAACTCACAGAAGCATTTCCACGTTAGATGCAGCTGGCCAGTCCTCTGAGAACAACATTTTGAATGCCATTCTTCATTCTAGGGCCATCTGGACAGACTTTTCTTAGCTGAATAACTTACACCAGCTTTTCAGGCACTGGACACATATCAAGTCTTTGCTCAAATTGTATCAGCAAGCCATCTGATTAAATTACCCAGCAATTAATCTGTTTGTTATAGCAGAGTTAGAATAGAAAATGTGTTGCCAAGCTATTTACAATTTAACTTTTTTTTTAGAAGGTTGATTAAGAATATTTTATTGCTTTTCTCAAGATAACTCACACTGGACTTCTTAAATGGAGAAGAGAGAATTAAAGATCTCATTAATATTTCAGCCTTCATTGGAAACAATGTTGTGATACTAACATAAATGTTAGCATTCACTTTTTTACTTGCTGTAAAGTATAAATGTGATAACAGTCAAAAATACAGTCTTTATTTGTGTTGTTAGAAAGCATAAATTCCTTTTGTCCATGAAAAAATAAGGTAGTGGGTGTATACCTGTATATTCATGTAATATTAGTCTATCTTTCTGGAGGAAAGCTTGAATAAAAAAGTTAAAGAACTTTAAAAGACATGGACTGTGAGTTCAGAAATGGGCAATATTTTCATGCTGGTATTTAAATTTGTGCTACATTAATTCAGCCCTCCTGTGTTGTATGTGCATCAGAGTACAATTTCTTTGTCATTTTATACCATGTTATCTGCAGGAGACTGCAATAAAGCTGTGTACATCTTCACTTAATGAACAGCTGAAAATGAATATTTCATATTTTCTTCCTTTTCTTGTATGTGATCTGTACCATCTTTATTAGGCATTTTTCAAACTTGTTTGTAAATATTTGTTGGAGCAGTGCTTCATGAATGTCAACATCCGTGCTTTTGATAATACTTAAAGGAAACAGGTTTTCAAATAATTATTTCCATTTTATAGAGATGTAAACGAAGCATTATGAACATTTTAAAGTTAAAAGGTTTTGGACAGCCAATCTGGGCAGTTTAAGGCTGAATATATTAGTATTACATGATACTTGATACATTTGAAGTACAACTTGTTTGTACTTTAACACTCTTTTGTTGGTTGATCAGAAATTCAACACGAGCTGGCAGTGTGCTTTTGCAGCCCAGAAGGCCAACTTGTTGCATCAAGAAAAGCATGACCAGCAGGTCAAGGGAAGTGATTCTGCCCCTCTGCTCTCATGAGACCTCTCTTGGAGTATTGTGTACAGTTCTTGGGCCTCCAACACAAGAACACCTGCTGTCTTCTGATTTAGCGGAAAGTGCCTTGATTCCTTCTGCTGATTAGAGCCCTTGGTCTCAAGGTGGTCACACAAAATCACAGAAAGGCTTA